TTCCACCTACTTTGAGCAGGTGAAGGTAGGATTTTAATATTTAAGACCTCTGTCAAAAATGCAACACACTAACATCTTTGCACTGGTTTCTTTTGGGTCTCAGGTTCTAGTTATGATGATGGCTGTAAAATATTAAAAAAGAAATTCATACCCTTTATTTAGCAGAATCATTCATTTGCAAGGCTTTACTTATTGGAATAAACATATGCTCAAGCCATGCACTTCAATTAGCAGCAGTTTTCTGGAGCAGTCCCCAAAGATGTAACACAATCTCGATTTCTTAGGCACTAACAAGGATTTCAGATAAATCCCCCTCTTCATGTTGGATTTTCCCTGCTGTCTACAAAATGTAAATGTGTACAAAGTTCATTAGTAGGCCAGATTTAAGCCTCTTCTTCTCTAAGCCCTGATTTCTTGCTCTTAAATTTTTTAAAACAAAATCTCGATGTGAAAAATTGCTGTTGCATACAGGGTTACAAATAGTCGAGGTGCCCTCTGGCCTTTCCTTTTCCTGTGATTTTGTTACAATCCATTGCATAGGAAATAATGTATAGGTGAAGTATTGTTTACTTAAATTATTTAAGCTAATATTTTTTCTTTGTAGGCATTTATACCAGGCTGGCTTTGGTAATATCTGAGTACCATATAAATCCTCAAATAAATGCACAGGTTCTCTTTTCCTTAACTTTGGAGAGTTATTTTAATGGTTTTGGTTTGGGTTGGTCATGCTAACACAGCAAAAATGTTCCTGGACCAAGGGGATGGGATTAGGCAATGAAGCTGCTGGATGGCATGATAATAATGCAGCTGATTCAGACAAGTATGATGCAGAGGTAGTTGTGTATATGTTTATGGGTTAGTGATCAATGGTTAGAGTTAACGGGTAGTGATCAATGGCTCAATATCTGGATGGCATTTGGTACCAAGCAGAGTGCCCCAGGCATCAGTACTGGGGTTGGTTTTGTTCAACATCTTTATTAATGACCTAGATAAGGGGATGGATTGCACCCTCAGCAAGTTTGCAGATGACATTAAACTAGGGGAGAGGTAGATATGCTGGCGGATAGGGATAGAGTCCAGAGTGACCTAGACAAATTGGAGGATTGGGCCAAAAGAAATCTGATGAAGTTCAACAAGGACAAGTGCAGAGTCCTGCACTTGGGACAGAAGAATCCCAAGCAGTGTTATAGGCAGGGTCCTAATTGGCTAGGTAGCAGTTTGGCAGAAAAAGATCTGGAGATGAGAAGCTGGATTTGAGTCAACAGTGTGCCCTCATAGCCAAGAAGGATAATGGCATATTAGGCTGCATTAGCAGGAGCATTGCCAGCAGATCTAGAGAAGAGATTATTCCCCTTTATTCAGCACTGGTGAGACCACATCTGAGCCGCGTCTAGACGGGCAAGTTTTTCCACAAAAGCAAGTGCTTTTGCAGAAAAACTTGCTAGCTGTCTACACTGTCCGCTTGAATTTGCGCAAGAACACTGATGATCTAATGTAAGATTGTCAGTGTTCTTATGCAAATACTATGTTGCTCCTGTTTGGGAAAAAGCCCTCTTGTGCAAATGTATTTGCACAAGAGGACCAGTGTAGACAGCTAAAAACTGTTTTGCGCAAAAAAGCCCCGATGACAAAAATGGCGATCGGGGCTTTCTTGCGCAACACCGCGTCTAGATTGGCACGGACGCTTTTCCGCAAAAAGTGCTTTTGCGCATAAGCGTCCATGCCAATCTAGACGCTCTTTTCCGCAAATGCTTTTAACGGAAAAACTTTTTTGTTAAAAGCATTTGCGGAAAATCATGCCAGTCTAGATGTAGCCCTGGAATATTGTGTCCAAATCTGGACACCCCCCCCACCTTTTACAGAAAGGATGTGGATGCAGAGGTCAATGAAAATGATTAGGGGGCTGGAACACATGACCAATGAGGAGAGGTTGAGGGACTTGAGCTTATTTAGTCTACAAAAGGGAAGAGTGGGAGGGGGGGGGGGAATTGATAGCTGCCTTTAACTACCTGAAGGGGGGGTTCCAGGGAGGATAGAGAGAGGCTGTTCTCAGTAGTGACAGATGGCAGAATGTGGAGCAATGGTCTCAAGTTACAGTGGGAGAGGTCTAGGTTGGATATTAGGAAAAACTATTTCACTAGGAGGGTGGTGAAGCACTGGAATGGGTCACCTAAGGAGGTGGTAGAATCTCCATCCCTAGAGGTTTTTAAATCCCAGCTTGACAAAGCCCTGGCTAGGGTGATAGGGTTGTTCCTGCTTTGGGCAGGGGGTTGGACTGGATGACCTTCTGAGGTCTCTTCCAGCCCTATGATTTTATGTATACAGCCCAGAATTCTGAGAAACAGCATTAGAGTATAGCTACATAGGAGTGGAATGATGCAATTGAGAGAGGAATCTAGGAGGATGAGATGACAGCAGCTGGCATTATCTACCAGGGAGGCTACTGGCATTATCTACCAGGAAGGGACAGTTTACTAAGAGATGTAGTTGCAAGGTGCCTGGGGAAAGACAAGTTGGTAGGAAGAAGTAACATTGGCAGAGGAGATTAATTTAAAATTGATTTCTGTCCTGTTTGCTATAGGTGAAGCATTTTGCTGCTTCTGAAAGAAAGTGCCCCTTTCACAAAACAGTGAGTCAGGAAATCAGATCACAAATGGGGGAGGGGGAAGGGGAGAATTAGTAATCCTTTCTGAAATCAGCTACCACCTACTTGCCTTTATCAGACTTTGTGAGAGGAAGAGAAGTGGAATTTAGCCCTAACATTTCATAACAGAAGAGGCAAACTATGGGACATGAAGTGATATGTTCTTAGATACACAGTCCATTTACGCCAACTTCTGACTGGCTCTGGTTGCTCTCATGTTGACATGAGGAAGTCAATAAAAGTCATAATAATGCCGCTGATTCAGACAAGTATAATGCAGAGGTAGTTGTGTATATGTTTATGGGTTAGTGATCAATGGCTAGAGTTCAGAAAAATGTGTCCAGACCAGCGGAGAGAATGATAAATGAATAGAAAGCAACTATATTCATATAAACATATGGATGTTTTTTCCCGTTTAAAATCCTGACCGATATGAGTCAGAGGGACACCATGGAAAAGACAGAACATTTCTTTACTCAGTTAAACTACACACTTGCACAGTAATCAGGTTGTCATATGTATGTCATCATGTACATCTTTCCAGCCTCCTCCCTTGTATCTTGTTTATCCTTGTAAGGTCATGTCTGATACTAGCATGTGAGCTCATTAGTAGCATATCTAGATTACAGGGGTTTTTTTGAAAAAAAGTGGCCTTTTTCCAAAAAACTTCCCCTGCATCTAGACTGCTGCCTCATTCTTTCAAAAGTAAATCGAAAGAACACGGCAGTTTTTTTGACCGTGGAAAACCTCGTTTTACGAGGAATAATGCCTTTTTTGAAAGTGCTCTTTTGAAAAAAGGCACTATGTAATGCAAACTCTGCTTTTTCAAAAGAGAGCATCCAGACTGCCCAACAAGAGAAGCAAAATTAATTCTTTCGGTGGGTCTCCACTGCAGAGGAGAGGTGAAGGGTCCCACACTGGAATCATTCCTTTCAGGTGATATATCTTGATGAACTGTCCCAGAACGAGGTGAGTTTACAGACCCCAGCCATCTTAGGCTATGTCTAGACTGCAGGCTTCTTTCGAAAGAGCCTCTTTCAAAAGATCGCGTCTAGACTGCAGGCGGATCTTTCGATAGAGGAAATCCGCTTTTTCGAAAGAGAGCACCCAGCGAGTCTGGATGCTCTCTTTCGAAGACGGCCTCTTTACATTGAAGAACGCCTTCCTTCGAAAGAGGAACTTTCGAAGGAAGGCGTTCTTCCTCGTGAAACGAGGTTTACCGCCATCGAAAGAAAAGCCGCGTTCTTTCGAAATAATTTCGAAAGAACGCGGCTTGAGTCTGGATGCAGGGGAAGTTCTTTCGAAAAAAGGGTACTTTTTTCGAAAGAACCCCTGAGTGTGGACACGGCCTAGATGTAGCCTAGGTGAACATGGTCTTTTTATCTGTATTCTGAAGCCCCTAACAGACTTTTTGGGCATAGTAGATCTACTGTTCAGTGACCCAAATTGACAACTCAAGATGTTCCAACATTCCCACTCCTTTGTAAAGAAGATTTCTGGATGGGTTTAGTAAACAGGCATGAAAGCCTCCTGAATCCACATTTTCATTGTTATCCTAAGTTTGAGTAATTGTCATAGATATTTAGCTGATTTCTGAGGAGAAGAGATTAAAAAAATAATGATAGGTGGTACACAGTTTTTGTTTCAAATCTTAATTTTCTTTCTTTCTTTCTTTCTTTCTTTCTTTCTTTCTTTCTTTCTTTCTTTCTTTCTTTCTTTCTTTCTTTCTTTCTTTCTTTCTTTTCTTTCAACTAGCTCTACACTCATACTGTACTGAATTGAATATCTAGCACTACTAAATAACAGTCCTTCCATATGAAAAAAGGGGAAAATGACTGATTAGAACAGCAATGATATTTCTTTTGTATTACCATTTAATCTAAACAGTGAAAGATCAGGGACTAGATTCTTATTGAAATTAGTGAATATTTTCTAGTAATAGAAATGTAGCCGTGTTAGTCTGGTGTAGCTGAAGCAAAATGCAGGACTATGTAGCACTTTAAAGACTAACAAGATGGTTTATTAGATGATGAGCTTTCGTGGGCCAGACCCACTTCCTCAGATCAAAGAGTGGAAGAAAATAGTCACAACCATATGTACCAAAGGATACAATTAAAAAAAATGAACACATATGAAAAGGACAAGTCACATTTCAGAACAGAAGGGGGATTTGGGGGGGGAGGGGAAGAAGGAAGGTAAGTGTCTGTGAGTTAATGATATTAGAGGTGGGGAAAGTTAGATGTCTGTGAGCTAATGGTATTAAAGGTGATAATTGGGGAAGCTTGGTAAGATCATTTTCATATGTGTTTATTTTTTTAAATTGTATCCTTTGGTATATATGGTTGTGACTATTTTCTTCCACTATTTGATCTGAGGAAGTGGGTCTGAATATTTTCTGTGATCCAACTAGTGGCCATCAAATGGAATGCCTGAGTGATCCATCAGCATGTTCAAATAACTAATTATTTGCTAATTCAATTTAAATTCATTTCAATTAATCATTGTGTTTAGTAATTCATTAGTCAGGAAAAAATGTGAAGTGGTGAAGTAATTGCTACTTCCATACCAAAAAAAATGAAAAAGAAACTGCAATCAAGGAGATTTAATATGCTTGCAATCAGAATGGAAAGGCAAACACAAGTTAAACCTATCTGGTACAGAGAAAATGGTGCTCTTTGTGACATATGAAAAAAAATCCAGAAATACAAATGTGCAGCACTTTAATGTTAGATTGACCATGATTAGAACTGTTCACAGCTAGCGTGGACAATCTAAATCATACTTCATTTTCTAAGTAAGTATGATAAAACCAGTAGGATACTTTAGAAAACACATTACCAGAGCGTGGGCTGCAGTAGGAAAAAACAGGAACATCTTTGGAAGGTTAATGTGGGAAGTTGAGTGACCTCTAGTCCAAGATTTTGAGACAAACAGAAAGACATGAGGGCTATTACACATCCTCTACAGCCTATATACACCAGTTGTAAGAATTATTTACTGAACAGATATTTACATTTTTTTAAAATATTATTAAAAAAGTAATATTTGCTTGATCTATGACACAATGAACTTCTCTACAAAGAAACTTACAATAGGCATAATAAAATATACAAGAAGTCATAAAAGATAACACTAGCGCAGTGGTCTGGCCTAATAAAACACTTCAAGGATGAGTGCAATGTATGGAGACAGTTTTGTTCTAGAAAGGAGTTTGTGCATATTTAAAAGTACTTACAAAGTTGATCTCCTCCTTTCCTTGACATGTGTATGTTTTCTCACTATGTGAATAGAGAACCATGAGCACCATGCATTTCTAAATGAAGGTATGTCCATGTTTTAATGATGGGATAATGTTTTCTAATCTTTATGGCTCATAAGAGAAAATATATAGGTTTCATCCTATCATCAACATTAAAGGACAATTTAAAGGATTTCATATCTAATGAATTCATAGGATTCATTGCCTTTTTTTTATTCTTCTAAACTGATTTATACTTATCGTTAAAGAATTAAGATGGTCAATGTCTACAGCCATCCTAAAAAAGCAACTCTTTCAGTCAAAGCTAATGTTTAAATCAAGGCTATCAGTGTTGCTCTGTATCCTTCCATTAAAATCCTTTTACCTGTGTTGTGAGGAGGATAACAAATAGCTGTGCTGGAAAACAGTTACAGCATCTTTTAAGTATCACCATACACAGTGAAAGCTTTGTTATCGGGCACTCATGGGAAATGGGGGTTGCCAGTAAATGGAATGTGTGGGATACTTGAGCTCATTGCTCTGCCCCTACCCCTTACCCAGAGGAAACCACAGTGACCAACTCTCCTCTCCCTCCCCCTGTGGGAACACCTGGCAACCCTTCCCCTTAGCCACAGAGCCATCCTAAGTGGCAAGCAGATGAGTGGGCCAGCTGACTGGGAACCCTCGGGCAGGTCTGACTCCTGGCAGTTCCAGGCAGGCTGAGGGGGAAGGAGGCACCTGATGATGACATCATCAAGCAGTGTAGTCCATCAGAAGCCCCGCAATGACTGGCAGCATCAAGCTGTCTGGCTGGACAGGTGGGAGTCAGGCATGTGCACCTGAAGATGCGGGGTATTGTGGCTGGGGGCAATGCCGGTTAACAATGTTTTCTGGTTAACAGAGTGCTGGATAACAACAATTTCACTGTATATTCAACAACTGCTTTCGTAAAAACTTTGGGTGCCAAGGAAATGTTCTAGCATGGTTACCTTCCGGTAATTCAAAAGGCCAAATGCTAGGATATAACAGATGCCTTTCCCGGAAAAGGGAGTTTGCACTATCATCAAGATTACATTTGGGTTGTTATTTAGCTGCTCATTTCCTACTGTTTGTAATAGTAGTTGCCTGGCTTGCACCACTTTGAATAGTTACTCATAACTACTCTTATCCTGTTTATTTCATGATGATGAACACTGAAAACTACTAAACAGAACTGGAGAAAAGCTTTTTATATAGCTATAAAAAGTGCAAAAGGATGGTCATTTTTATGGGAAATCAATTTAACTTTTTTGATGCCAGCAGCTTCATTTTGGGGTAATTTATTTGATTTTTATGTGAATCTCCATTGTCTTAACTGAATGGTAATTGAAGATAAAAAAGAGTGAAATATAAATGGGAGGAAAAAGGCAAAATAATCCTCCTGAGAACCTCTGAAGAGAGATAGGCAAAGTAAGACTACAATTATAATGGGTGAATGCTACATTAAAAATATGTTACTGAAATTAGGGAAGTTGGATACCTAGCCATTGTTTTACAAAGAACTAAATCCCTTCAGCATTGGTAAATTGCTAATGAAGGAAATGAATAATATCTAGAAATGTTTCTGCCTACATTAGCAACAACCCGGCTCTTCTGCTAGCTGCCAGGCAGGAAAGGATTTTGCAGACAATGTCCTATATGACTTGAGTCACATGCTGCTGAAGGAAGAATACTTTATCTCCTGATATGATAGATTCTGCATATCTGACTTGCTGTATTTTCTGGCTCTCAAAGCCAACTTCCAATCCCCAATTTTTTCCACTAAGAAATTTCATAAATACAGTCGGATGATGTTCTTTATACGCTCTGGAAGAGGTGATACTACTGCAATCCTTTCAGTATCCCCATAGCAAAAGAGAAGAAAGATAAAAAAAAAAGCTGATAGTAGATTCTTCTGTCATGTTTGGTAGGGAAATTACATCAAAGGATAACATCTAACATGATCCCACAAAGTAAACCAATCATTTTCCATTAAATCTCTTGCCTAAATGTCTGCATTTTGAAAAGTGCTTTCAGTGGGGTTTTTTCTTACTACAAAGATCAGTTTTAAATTCATTTTTACTGCTTACATATTTAGGCAATGTTAAGGATGGCATAATCAGGGCCCTACAGTCAGAGGAAAGATGATTTGAAGGTAGACTGACTGAAAGAAAACTGACGACTTCCACGTGGCTTAGAGACTCATCAGTACTGAAATTCAGAAGCTGTGTTGTTCAACAGAATCATCAAGTTATGCAGCTTATACAATACCTCGGTGGAGAAATTATTCTCTTTCCGGGTGTATATTCTTTTCATAACTCAAGCCATAAATCATACTTCCAAAAAATATCCCAATACAACCCAATTTCTATTAGCAGAGCATACCTTATACTATAAAACTTGCAAGGAGACCAGTGTTGCACCATGAAGCTTATACAGTTTTTTCCCCAGTGTAAAAATATACAATGCTACTGCCTATTTGTTGCAGTGTAAGGTCCAATCAGTACTCGTCTGCTGAAGGCGTTACATTTGTGCCCTTTCATACTTCTCCAACCCAGACCATCGTGTTACCCCTCTTGATACCTGAAACCTCACAGTGTAATGTGTTTTGTCTCCCATTAATAACAAACAGTGAATCCTTAGCTGGTGTAATAAGATACTGTCCAAATAATCCACTGTCTTTCATAATTCTGTTGTCACTGTTCCAGGGCCAGTCTTTGGACATGATAGGGTCCTTTAAATTCTTCAGTACATTCATTTTCCCCGTTGACAGCTCTACAAAAAGCACATCTGTTTGCAAATGTGATGTAGCATATATATAGTACTGATTGCCTTCAGTGAAAGAGGGTTGAAATGTCAGATCAGATATGTGCACATTTGTTTGTAAGTCATACATCAACTTGATTTCCCCTTGGATGGTTATTGCCTGGACTTTAATCCTGCCACTGTCTTCAGCTGCACTCACCAAATAGCGTCCGTCAGGGGAAATATAGGGCGTACCTGATATGTCACTGTTAGGGCCAATCACAGAATCTGTAACACTGTCAATAATGAGCTGGGGAGATGCTACTGTTGATGTATTTTTTTTACACTGGACAAAGAAGTAGCCGCCCAAATGGGTATAGGCCATGGCCTGTGGCTTGCAGCTATAGTTTTTGAAGCTGATTGTCTTGATGTGGGTCACAGTTTCCAGGTCAATTTTGTGAACTGCAGATCTTGATTTGTTAAAGACGAAACCAAACCTGAAATATAAAACATGATACTGGAGTCATCTCTGGAGCTGAGGCAATATGCTCGAGAGAACACTGAAATCAGCAGAACTGGCAGACTCCATGCTGTCGTTTTCTATTGTGTATAATAATATCTACTTTTCTCTATGAAACCACTGACATTTTAATTCTTCTGCCATGTGCTCAACCTCCCCTCTCCCCAATATGTTTGGTTAATTTGTAATTACGAACTAGGGATATGATCCCACAGTACAAGAATTCCTGGCTCGCATGAACAGTCTCATCAACACCATTAATCAACCACAGAACAGTGTTCAGGCTTGGGCCCTTCGTGTGTTGTTCTTGAGTTACAAATTTTTCTGATGTGATGTAATTCAATGTGTTTTATAGCTAGGAATCATAACTGCTTAACTAATGCATATTGTGGACCTGATCCTAAAGATGGGAGCAAATGCAAAGATAATTTCAAGACATATTTGTGCCCCCTGATTATGGGACAGTCCCTTAATGTAAGTTAGAGCTGCTTGGGGGTAGCTCTAATTTACAGTGGCTGCCCATGGCGCCGGAGGATCAGCATGGTAGCTGAGACTACTTTGGTGCATTCAGTCTGTGTCACGTTCCCACATCATCTGCTGTGAGGATGGGTGGCTTAGGAACTTATCAAATGATCTCCTCAAAGGATCCCAACTGAGTGGAAATTTGGGGTCTTTGTTTTTGGTTTTTGAGAGAACAAAAAATGAAATGTATTCTGAATAAAATGTTCCATAAAATCAACAGGCTTCAGTGCATTTGACCTTTGTTAACCAGAGAAAAATGGTCAGCAATAGCCAAACAATGGTTCTACTTACTTTGAGAAGAAGCCGGTAAAAATGGCACCTTTTCTGTTCCCTAGGACACTGGTAATCACTCGTGCAAGTGAAAATTAATTTTACATTGAGTATCTTTTCATCCATTCAATACAGAAAGAAGGAAATTAAGTGAGATGTTTAGCTCGACTTTGAAAGGTGTAAGATTGCCTTATGAAATGTGACAAGGGAATTGTTTTCACACAGTTAAAATACATATTTTGCTTCAATCAGTGAGTTTATGTCTTTAATCTTAAACAGAATGTCAGTGAGAAAATTCACCAGTGATTTCACTGCTGAAGAATTAGCCAATGTACTGTATAATCATTTGAAAATCACTGGGCTTAGCCTGGCATTTACCCATTATGCTCAGATCCTTTAGAAATTTCACTTAAAATAGCTTCTGTAAAGATTCACATGTGGAAGAAATAGGAGATGACACAAGTGTTTCTCTTGAATGAGCACACTTGGACTACTCTAAAAAATGCCTTCCTTTACACCATTTCTTTCAAGTCTCCCTTAGTACTTGGCCAAGTGCCTGAATAAGAGAAAAATCAGGCTTTTATCATAAACTTCCATTTAAAAAGAGGCTCAGAATGTGCGTTATGTGCACACAGCTGCTGAAGAAGTTCTATGCCTGTATGAAATCTGTGCTCTGAAAACTTGCTCTTAGTATTTTTATGACAACTAGTGAGCATGTAAGGCATGCTGGGAACTAATCCCGCCAAAACACATAACAGAGGGGTTACTTATCCTGTGCGGTGATACAGTGCTTCAAAGATGTGCCCCTCTGAGAGGCTCCCACTTCTGGTGCATGTGCGCCCCATGTTCTTTTGATTGGACATTTTCATTAGCAAAGGCCATTAAGCCCATATGTGAGGATATCAGCAGCATCTTCACACATGTTGCTAATAGTCTCACCCCCTGCTTGGGCAAACTGCATGGGCTGCATGGGCAAACTGCTCCTCAGTTTGTTCTTTATCACTGAATCTCAGAAAGAAACTTCAAAGCACATGGAAGGAATGAGGATAAGGAAGCCCCCATAGTGGGTCATAGCTCAAAGACCTACTAACTGCACAGGATAAGCAACTTTTCTGACTTCTTTGAGTACTGTCCCTATGGGTGCTCCACTTCATGTGATTAACAAGTAGTATTCCCCTAACAAGGAGGGAACTTTGGAATCAAGTCCAACAGAGAGGGGAAAATGTACTGCCAGCTGCTATATTGGGAGCATTGACAAAGACCTTGAAGCAGCTCTTCAGCTGTCAGATATTGGGCATTTTTTAGTAGCGCCTACGAAAAGCTCTTAAACAGCCAAATGAACCCCAAGCAATATAAGTCATAGTTCTGTTTCCTGCAGCAGATATTCCGGAACAAAGAGAGGCAAATTTGGGGGCAGCAGTTTGGAATTCACACCAAGTGACTAATCTACACTTTTGAAGGCAATATTTGTGGATCTTTTCTATTTTTTTTAAATATCTGTTGTAACGCTGCAGAATAGACTGACTCTAACCCTAATCCTCTAATCATTGAAGAGCCACACCTTGAAGTGGAGAATGCTCACGCTGGGAAAACAGCAAGCTACTAATGTCCTGGGAAAGGAGCCAAAGAAGGGATTGGAAGATGTATACTGAGACAAATAGAGACGTGAAACCACACCTGCCTTGACCATGTTGGTGCTATTGAGATAACACTTCTTGTCTTTTCTGATTTTGTTCAGCACCTGAGAATCCGAGACATGTGGGAAAAACATAAAACAGTTTCTTCCTTCAAGAGAGGCAGAAGGCATCTGCCCAAGGAACTGTGACCTAATTCCCCACACTGAACAAAATAGATGTCATTTTTTGTTTGTAGCAGTGGTGAAGAGATCCACTACTGAAAATACCCAAGTCTCAACTTCATCAGCAATACCTCGGGAAAACAATTCTCATTCATAGTCATGGGAAAAAACACCTGCTAAGAATGCTGACTGTGATATTTTGCCTGCCTGGGAGATAGGTTGTTGAAATTCTTCTGCAATGTTTTGTGTTCCAGTTCCATTACCTTAATACTTCGGTGCAGAGGGAAGGAGATATCACGTCACCCTGCCAATTGATATAGAATATATAGGAGATATTGTCTGTCATGACTTTGATAGATGTGTCTGATGAGAGGTAGAGAATGAGGGCAGATGTTTCTGACTGCTCTGAGCTCTAACAGGTTGATATGGAAAGTGGTTTCTTGGGGTAACCACCGGAGGACTTTGAGGTATGCCCCTCATCCTAAAAGAGACACATCTGTTGTTTTGATTAATGTTGATTTCAGTTGGAAGAAGGGACCCCACACCTACATTGTGATGCACCTTTCCACCAGTCAAGGTAGCAATCAGCCTGTTGAGGAACTGATACCTGTTTGTCTTGGCTGCATCTGTGTGGCAAGAAAACTGATGTGGCCACACCTGGAAACGGCAAAGGCATAATCTCACATATTTGGTCACAAATACAAGATGCTATGTGACCTAGAAACTGAAGTTTCTGACTAAAGTCCAGGGGCTCCTTTGAACCATTCTGACAGTATTATAATATCATGATGCCCCTGGGAGGAAGCCAAGGATGTGAAAGGGCACTAAAGGTCCCTGAGGACTGACGGGGTGGTCTCCTGATCTATCTTCAAAGTGAGGCAAAGGAAGCACTCCATCATTACCAGTCACTGCTTCTTACATGGCTTAAATTTGAGGGCTAAATAAGACAGGACACATCTGTGGGACGTGGGACTCTCCCAGGCTGCCCAAACACTTCAAGAATCCTTGTTGACTGGGGTAGCCTCTTTACACATGAGGCAACATAACGTGGTGAACAGGGTATGCTGCATGCAGTGCGGCTTTCCCCAGAGGAAATAACAAAACCTTTCAGAAACCAGGAACTAACTACGCCTACAGACTAACAAACTAAGTACAAAGAAATTAGCAAGCCGAGGCAAGCACAATGTGGATGCACTAAGTGCGGTCTCAGGCCAACACAGGAAATGAGGGCAATTCACTCACCCAGCCTGATATACCCTCAATGTGGGATATGCAGATATCAGCAATGGGGTCGAATGGACACTGCTAATGAAAATCTCCAATCAAAGGTGCATGGGGCACATGCACATCTGAAGTGAAGCATCAACAGCGATGCTACTTGAAGAAGACTGTCTAGGTATTTGTCTGAATTAACAGACAGTTGAAAGTGTTTGTTTCAGTGAGTAGAACTATTTACTCTAGGTCAAAGCCTACACCCAATGTCACTGATACTTTTGTGGTCATCAGTAGCGCTCTAATTCCGCTATTAACTTGAAGTTAAGTGTGTGCTTAAGTGCTTTGTTGGACTGGGAGTTCTCTTAAGCAGAATATGGCCTATAACTAGCTTAAGTAAGCTATATTGGTGAATAAAATGATTATTACATAGTTGTTGTGCAATAATATGGTAGCAATATAATCAATTACTATGTACTTACCATCGATTTCAACATTTAACATGTAGTTGCCACGTTAATGCCATGAAATAACATATTATTTTATATTAAGTGAGTTGGCTAAACTGTAATTACATTGGAAATTATTGTAATTACAATACATGGCATTAATGTTTCTAAACGCTTGCACATTTGTGCAATCAGTTACTGCACACACAAATCACATATCTGAGCATGAAAATGGCCAGCTATGTATTCAACAGCCAAACTTTAGATGAGAATAAAGTTGTTACCACTTAGCTCAATAAATCTTAGGACCTTATGTCTCAATTGCTATGAACCCAGAATCCTTGGGAGCCTGCATTAAGATGGCTAGCCCATGCTGAAGCCTGTGTTGTCACGTTTCATACTACTGTTACAAACAGAACAAGCACACCATAATTTGCAGTGTAGACACACCCTCAGAAGTGCCCTTGGATCTTAGATTTCTTATAGCAGGCTTTGTGGTTAAGGTAGGAGCCTGAAACTCAAGGTTCTATTCCTGGCTCCACCACAGACTTTCTAAATAGTGTTGGGCAATTTGCTTATCCTGTTCTTACACCAATTTCCACATAAGGAGAATGGGGCTAATACTACTTAACATCACACGCTCATTAATGTTTGTATAGTACTTTAAGTTGATTAGACAAAAGGTCCTTTAGAAGCACAAAGCATGATGATGATGAGTCATTAGGATCATTCCTTACCTAACGTGATTAATAATAAGATTTGTTGGTGGTATGAAAAAATCATCCACATCTTCAAATGGTGTGTGGATGATATGATGAATTTCCCCTCCACTTGCTTCTGTTATTACCTACAATAAATAAACAAAATGTTGCGTATAGGGAAAAGAAGAAGAAAGAGAGAAGTACATACAAATTACATAACTGTCCATGACACCATTTTTTTGGCCATATATCGGTGAGATTCAAATTGATTTATATTTTCAAAATAATGTTTGGAGTAGTTCCTTGAAAAATAGTTTTAATAAGATGGCATCTGAGCATTGACATTTGAAAGGCAAGTGCTCAACTCTTTCTGCTTTCATAAGATGATGTTTATATCAGTAGACAAAAGCAATCAAATACAGGTTGAAATAGTGTGACAATAGTAAACCTACAATAATGTATTCCACACTGTTTAAAATAAATATTTATTTCATATTCACATTTATGAACCTCACTTAAATTCACAGTAATAATTCACTAGCTTGACTGATGAAAATCTAACTCACGGTAGTTAATTATCACTTTGAAGGAAAAGAAATGTTCACCCATCTATTGCACCACATAAAATACACTGAAGAGCAGGGAAAGACACTCTCTCGAAATGCTGTCCTTCAAAAGAAAGCAAACCTTTTGCTGCCATGGAAACTCTGCTTTATTATCTCCCACATAACCCCAAAATATGAGCAGAAAGAATTTTTTAACAATTAAAATGTTAAATACAGAAAAAAATTACAGGGCTTGTTTTAGTTCAAGATGGTGTAATCAATTCATTAGAAGTTTTTGCAAATATAATCTGCTAATAGTAGTTCTTTAAAATTTAGGGCTAAATAATTCATCATAGGATATTCTACAACCCTAAAAGGTTTAGCTCAAACATACTGGTCACACCATTTTGATTTATTCCAATTAAATTGTTTGAAAAGAATGCCATTTTTTGTAAAGTGCTTTCATGAAGCCAGAAATAGTTTTGCACATTTGCTTTCCCATAAAGTAGTAACAACTAAACAATAGTAGACCATTAATAGTCTGCAAAGCTTTGTTTGATAAACCTCTGATTTCTAAAGAGGCGCAAAGAATTAAGGTCAAGCTATACAGTTGAATTTTTTTTTAATCACAGAGCTGTGTGAAACAATTAATGATTTTGTTAGGGGGAGGAGGGAGAGAAACCTCATCAAATTAGACTCTGCAATTTTTTGAGGGGGGGGGGGCGCTGTCAGAAGACAAAAGGTGTTAATCTAATGCTATCCATGTGTATCAGTATTTTACAAGAGAACAGAAAGGACCATCTGAGAACTATAGTTGTATTACAAGTTTCCAGCTATGCAGTTGGTGTTGTTAAAAATCAGAAGTCTATGCCAGCTTTCCTTTAATTACAGAAACCTCTCACAGTTGGATGGAAGCTATTAAGTGGAAATAATGGGAAACCATTTTGGCTTCTTGTATCTTTTACAGGAACCCATGCTACTCATGAGGGAACTTAGCTGAGATTGCTTCAGAAACTTCCGTTTAGTTGCTGCTGTTTTGTTGCCAGAAGTAAAACAGTGCAGGATTCCTCTTTTCTTTAGTGAGGCTGGTTGATAAGACATGCGTGGTAATGCAGTACATGACGTGTAGTAAGTACCAGGCAACTGCTGTAAAGAAGGTGATAATTTATGAGCCGCCTCATGCTCCTACATAATTGCTGGAGTAGATTCCTGGGGCCAGATTCACAAAGGCACTTGGGTACCTAACTGCCCCTGTAGGCACCTCATACCAAGAGTTGACGCTACTGACATTTCCAGAATCACCATCTAGCTTCCTTCTGTAGGCACCTGAGTATTTTCTGGTGGACCCATGTAAAGCCACTTAAATCCTGACATTGCATCACTGCTTGGAGCTCTCACTCAAATGAAACTCTAGCACCATTCTCAGACTAGGCATTTCCCTGCTTTTCTCTCTCCTGAAAGACTGAATAGGCCCGTAGTGAAAGCACTTGTCTGCAATGGGGAAGACCCAAATTCACATCCCTGCTCCAGTCATAAAACCATTTGAGTCTGGATCACCTACCCTCTGGTTTTTCATGAGAAAAATCTGACCTTGCTCTGAGGTGTCTAACTTCAGAGGGGGGTTTGTTGCTAAGAATACCAAGCACAGAGTGACTTGTCAGGTACCTAATGCCCAGACAATGGGAGTTAGCTGCCAATATACTTTTGATAGGGACCTAATCCCCTCCTTCTTCCAAATTTCAGTCCTGGCTAGATTAGGTCACCTCTTGCTCAGCCATCTACTTCTTGGGCACCTAACTCTTCCTTAGCCATGCATGAGTAACTCAGGCAGCTTGCTCAGAGTTCAGAAAACCATTAGGAGTTAGACATTGCAATGTCTAGGGCAGTGGTCCCCAACCTTTTTGTTGCCAATAGCACATTCATGTTTTCAGAAGAGAGTGGCGGGCGCCAACAAAAAAAACGTGTCAAATGTGAAATTGAAGGCTATTTTCATATTAAATGTAAAATTGGGTACATTTGATAGAAACTTAATTTAGTTGGATAATTTTTATTTTAATTATATTGTAATTCATTTTTTAAAATTCTGCATTAATAAAAAGGGGGGGGATGTCCAAATGTTGAGCAGAAAAAGCACCCCCCCCCAAAAAAATGCCACCTTTAAATCTCACACTCCCCATCCCCACCATGGCAGGAGGAAGAATGTCAATTTTGTGAGCTCCCTAAAAATGGAAAAAAGGAGTCAAATGTGAAATTGAAGGCTATCTTCATATTAAATGTGAATTGGGTAAATTTGAGAGAAACTTAATTTAATTGGATAATTTTTATTTTAATTGTATTGTAATTCATTTTTAAACAAAATTCTGCATTAATAAAAAGGGGGGATGTCTAAATGTTGAGCAAAAAAAGTACCCTCCCCCCCCCAAAAAATACCATGGCACCTTTAAATTTCACACTTCCTTCCACATGGCAGGGGAAGAATGTCCGAAGTGGCTTTCCAGCTGAGAAACTGAAAATACCAGACATTTTACTGGTGGAGGGTCAGGCCAGGGGTTTGGATTGCCCCTCAGGGCAGGAGATTGGGGTGCAGGGTCTGGGAGGAGAGTTCTGTGGGTGAAGATATCGGAGTGGTAATAGCTGGGGGGGCTGGACACTTACCAGTGAGACGTGCTGCTCTCCTGTTTCTCCCACAGGACCTGCCTGGCCATGTGCTTGGGGATTGGTAGGTTCCCGCAGCTGCCATTGTCCAGGTCCGGGCAATGGGCTTGTGCAGGGGGGCAGAAGCGGCCATGAGGGCCCCTCCCCTGCCGGCTCGCAGCTCCTGCACCACAAAGGGCCCCCCTATGGCTGTTTTGTGTGTGGGAGGGAGGGGGTTGTTGCTGCCTCGCAGCTGGACCCAACCAGCGTGGGGTTTGCTCCGGCTACTGAAGCGCCTGCGTGGGCTGCCTGCTGTGGTGGGGGCGGGGCTCAAGCCTCCAAAGCGCCGCGTCGGGCTCCCTCGCAGTCCTCAGGCTGCCGACCCTGCTCTAAGCAGGGGTGAATGTGAGTAGTTTTAAAATGCTGGTGCGGGCACACATAAATGTGGGAACCACGGGTAATCTACACTGCAAGCTTCTTTTGGAATAAGCTTTTCCAGAAGGTATCTTCCGGACAAGCTTACTTCAAAATAGAGTGTCCACACTACAGGAAAGTCTTAAAATCAGTCTGAGGCAGGCAGACGCACTATCTTGACTTAGAGCCCCAGGAGGTACTGGAGAGAATAACTTTAGAACGGCCCTGGTGAGGAGCTATTTCGACATAGCAGCAGTCTACATACACCCTCTTCTGAAAAAGCTTTTTCAAAAAAGGGCTTATTCCTCATGAAATGAGGTTTACCGCCGTCGGAAAAAGCCATTCATTATTCGGCTGTTATTCTGAAATAACAATGTGAGCGTCTACACTGCAATTCCATTATTTTGAAATAATTTCAGAATAAAGGAGGACTTATTCTGATTTCTGCAAACCTCATTCTACAAAGAATAACGCCTGTTCCGAAATAGCTATTTTGGAATAAGGTGTGTGTGTAGATACTCCACTTCTGCTATTTCGAAATAGCCCTTCACCGGGGCCATTCTAAGTTATTCCTCCTGGGGCTCTAAAGTGAGAGAGCACGTCTACACTGCTGGGAAGCCTGCCTCGGACTAATTATGAGGCTTCCCTATAGTATAGATGCGCTATTTCGAAATAAGCTATTTTGGAATAACTGTTCTGGAATAGCACATTCAGAAATAACTGCAGTGTGGACATAGCCTAGGACTCTAATTTCAGGAGAGCTTTGCCCACACAAAACGTGTACTGACTTCTATACTGTGGGTGCTTGGCACATCTGAAAAGTAGGTCCTGTATTGTTGGTGTAACTCTAGGCAGACTAGCACAGCACTATATCAGCTCACCCAACCAGGAGGCCAATATTGCAAACCTAATGCAGCCACATGCATTAACTAACTTTATGGTGTGTATCAGATGAAAAAAAAAAGATGTTGTCAAAATAAAACCAAATCTCTGGTCTCACTCGAGCCTCCAGGTCAGGATTCCTCGCTTTGTAACTATTATTTTGTGGAACCCTTCTTGTGAAAATCTTGGATCGTTTCTTCAGTACAGCATCTATAATTTCAGAGTGAACATAAAGGGCTGGCAGGTGGCCCAATGCTTCACTACTGCATGAGGGCCAAAGATGAAGTGAGAACCCACAGTGCAGTCCCCTTCACAACCTCTTGTATGGCACCTGGGATGAGGGTGAGGGTGCCCACCATCTGCCCCACAGATATGCTGGCTAGTGTAACCAAACAGTTGCAGGAGGGATGTAGTTTGCTGCTGGACAAGGCCATTAACTATTTCTACATTGTGGGAGACAGGTGGTGGAAAAAAACAATAGTGCCTCACTGAGTTTCAGTTGCTTCCCAGAACAGCACTGCTGCACATGGCTTCTAACACAGGACTAGGCGCCAATTCTCAGTCTAGCCCTTACGGATCTGTATGCTGTTAGCAATGATGTATAAAGGGGAAAGCCTGAGTTTCATAGATCCAGAAAGTTCTAGACCATGTGTATCAGAAAATAGCTATTATGCAGGAGTATAATTCAGATCTTGTGCTGGCTTGGAAAAATGATGTGTAAGACTCAGTTCCTTTATAGGCTAACCCGGGATCAATGTGGAGTAACTACATGGAGGTTCGTGGACTTATTCCATGTTTGCACTAGTATGTCTGAAGCAGAATTTGTGCTAGTGTCTGGGTGTATCCTTTATTCTTGAGAGCTGCTTTGGAAACCAGTTTGATCTTTCTATTTAGAAAGAGGTATTTGAGGTTGAGCTTGCAGAATACTTTCAATTATCACTCCTTTTTTTGCCTCTAACTACATAATTCTCAGAAACTGTGCACAACCCACCTCTTTCTCTGCTAAAGGTTTATATTTGATTGAGAAGAGAGGAATACTATTGTATTGTGCTCCATAACTGGTCCACAAAAGAGTCTCAAGTTTTGGGGAAAGAAGTGAAATAAAATCAGCAGAATTCAAAGAAAATAAGCATAAGAACATAAGAACGGCCGTACTGGGTCAGACCAAAGGTGAACCGAAAACAATGATCAAGCAATTTGTCTCCTGTCATCCTTCTTTAGTGTAGCGCCTATGAAAGTTAGTTCGAACTAACGTCCATTAGTTCGGACTAACTCTGTAGTGTAGACATACCCTTATAGTGTTAGCCTTCACAGCCTCCTCTGGCAAGGAGTTCCATAGGTTGACTACACGCTGTGTGAAGAAGAACTTTCTTTTATTAGTTTTAAACCTGCTACCCATTAATTTCATTTGGTGTCCTCTAGTTCTTCTATTATGGGAACTAATAAATAACTTTTCTTTATCGGCCCTCTCCACACCACTCATGATTTTATAGATCTCTATCATATCCCCCCTCAGTCTCCTCTTTTCTAAACTGAAAAGTCCCAGTCGCTTTAACCTCTCCTCATATAGGACCCGTTCCTAACCCCTAATCATTTTAGTTGCCCTTTTCTGAACCCTTTCCAAGGCCAAAATATCTTTTTTGAGGTGAGGAGACCACATCTGTACACAGTATTCAAGATGTGGGCATACCATAGTTTTATACAGGGCAGTAAGATATTCTATGTCTTATTTTCTATCCCTTTCTTAATAATTCCTAGCATCCTATTTGCGTTTTTGACCGCTGCTGCACACTGTGTGGAAGTTTTCAGAGAACTATCCACGATAACTCCAAAGATCTCTTTCCTGATTTGTCGTAGCCAAATTAGCCCCCATCATACTGTACGTATAGTTGGAGTTATTTTTCCCAATGTGCATTACTTTACACTTATCCACATTAAATTTCATTTGCCATTTTGTTGCCCAATTGCTCAGTTTGGTGAGATCTTGTTGGAATCCCTCACAGTCTGCTTCTGTCTTGACTATACTAAACAGCTTAATATCATCCGCAAACTTTACCACCTCACTGCTTACCCCTTTCTCTAGATCATTTATGAATAAGTTGAAAAGGATTGGTCCCAGGACTGACCCTTGGGGGACACCACTAGTTACCCCCTCCATTAGGAAAATTTACCATTTATTCATACCCTTTGTTTCTTGTCTTTTAACCAGTTCTCAATCCAAGAAAGGACCTTAAGCAGTAGTTTAAAGGACAAGCAGAAACCATAGACCCATACTGCATAAAATTGAAGAACAGACTGTCGTTCTTTGATGTTAAAGAGGAGAAACGAGCTTGTTCTGATGCAGTCACATGCTTGACAAAACAGTTCTGAAGGAACTATAAAACTACAGTATGGCGTACAATAAGGCAGTGTTGTCTAGCAGCATTACCGACACTTCCACAGCTTACTGGGGTCTTAGAAAACCTTTAGGGGTAAATTAGAACTAAATAACAGTAGAGAACTCTGAGAGCTAGGACCGGTGGCTGTAAATAAACTTTATGAGACTGCGGAAATGTTGGCCATACCCATGATAAGTGGACATCCAGCTAACTAAATTAATTCCAGACAACAACGGATGTTGCTGGATACGAAAGTGCCAGACTAGAGAGGTTCAATCTGTAGTGCCCTTTCTGCACAATACCACAAAATGCTTTACCTTCTTACCTCATCCTCCTTCAAAAAAGTGGAACATATTCTGTGTTGGTGTTCTGCTTCTTATTCACCAGCTATTCTAGGGTTGGGTTGGCATAGATCAGAGCTGCCTGAGGGCAGTCTAGCCCAGATGAAATGATCCCTATGGGCTGTTATACTAAAAGGGAATACCCAGGATGTATGAATGTCTGAGTGGCAATGCCGTGCTCCCCAAATCTGCTCCCTGCTTCAAGGGATCCAGCTCTGTGTCATGAGCTGCCTGAGGTGGTTCTAGAGACCACTTAGCCCTGACACTTTCAGCAGTCTCGCATCCACATTGGGCCAGATCTGCTTTATAGGAGGCTCTGATCATGCAACAAAAATCACTATGAGCTTTGTTTGTTTCTTTCTCGGTTTCCACGTCAGGTAGTTCTGCATGCACTTGAGGCATGTGGTTCTGTCATCAGCCTTAAAAACAAAATGGACAGTGGCAACAATGCACTCCCATGACTCCCAACTCTGTTTTGTGCCTGACCCGTGGCTCAAAACCAATTGAGCAGTAAGAGAGGTGGGCGTAGAAATAATGCACAGTAAATATGTATCGGCTTAAATTCAAGACAGAAAGAGGTATCAATAGCCAATGGCACTGGTAAAAGAAAGAGAAGGTAAAGTGCTAACTTTATACAACACTTACCTGCAGTGTTGGATGGGACTTCAGCATGTTCCCCCAGCTAAGGACCCAGACTTGGTCATGTGATTTATCATAATGTAATTTGGCTGGTAGGGGGTCAACATCTATAGACTTCAAATAAACAAATATTTGTATTCATATTTAGTCACATGAAGGTGGCTTATGAACATTATTTCTGTTAACATTTGTTTACAAAGATTACTATGCATGTTCCCATGGAATCCATTAACCCATCCACTGGGAAACATCAAGTTGTGTAATCCACGGAAAACGTAGCACATTGTGAGTCAGAGGCAGAGCCAGAAACAGAGAGTAAGTAGCCTGTTTCCCAATCCCCTGGTCTAGCTAGATAGACAATACACCATCCCATCCTGCAACTTCTATTTAGTAAATAAAGGGCCAATTTCTGCTAGAGTTACACCTGGGCAATCCCATTCATTCCAATCTGGTTATAACTAAGGTTAGAAACTGAGTCAGTAAGTCAGAAATATGTATCTAGGTAGCTGCAAATGTGACTGCAGACGTATTCCTAGGACGATGAGAATCATGCCGTAAAGCAGTTTATTTGGGAATGAGGTTATAGCATGGCACATGACTCAGTTTACCCGAATGAGAGAAAACAATGTATCTGTCCAACACATAAGATAAGTCAGCGATCCCCTGGGTAGGGACCTAATTTGTTAGTGTATCAAAGGCTCTTTGCCCTCACTGAATAAATAGTTCTCCTGGTAAGTACCTGCATGACTTTTTGTGTCTGGATATCAATGATCATTAGTCTGTTTTGCTTCGGCTGTGTCACATAAATATATTTGTCTCTAACATTGACAGCTGAAGCCCAGAGGCAGGACTGAGCAGCTTCACCTTCAGCTCTAGGACAGATCTCTTCCTGCAAGAGAAAAAGAATAGGTTTAATTTGTATGAGTTCAGGGCAATGCTCTACGTAGCCTGCCCTTTAGCCCAGAATCATAGAACAAAACTCAGTGGGGACTCTAGTATGCCTAAATTATTACCCCTCACACACACATTTTACCTGAAAAACATGAAATAATTATTGTATCAGGTAGCACACTATCTATCCCAGCGAGATTAAGCAACTGGAGCTTGCTGCGAGTTCCCATTTATATTCAAAGAACAGAATCTTTTGAAGTTTCCCCTGGTACAAGAGGACTTATAATGCTGTCAACATTTATTAGCTATATAAATCTCAGTTTGGATTTAAACCGCAGTGATTTGTGTTTTAATGGAATTATTGCACTACATTGTCCCTCTAGCCTTCGTTGTCAGGTTTAGGGAATCGTGCTCTCGGGTTCTTGTGCATTTAGAGTAGCAGCAGAAAAGATGAGTCCAATACCCTCCTTAACTCCAACCTAGAAAAGTCTTGTATTTTATAAAAGTACCATATGGTGTGGGCCCAATTTTATTCATTTAACTCACATCTGAGCTGTGTGTTGAAGTGAGTGGAACTACACATCTTTAGAGCCAGCAGGATCTGTCCTTTGCTATATTTTCTGTGTAGTTCCTTCTCCTGTTTTGGTGCAGCTTTCTCTTCAGATGCTTTCCTTCCCATCTTGTGAATTATTATTGATCACTGGTAACTTATTCTAACAGTAACAGCATTTTTCAGTTGGTGCCTCTCAAAGTGCCTAACAAAGTACAATATCATTTAGTTGAGGATCTGAAGCTCTGATAGCTAAATCCTGGTTGAGTAAAGGTTGGCGGGATAAATCCTTGTTTTGAACCCTCTGCACCACTTCGTGGGCGCACAAGGGCTGCAAATCATCTGGATCTAACCTGCTGAGAAGTCTTTTGGTTCATTGAGTTCTGACTTGTGGCATTAATATGTGGACACTGGTAATATTCCGTAGCAAACATGCAACTTAAGACTCAGGAAGCCAAAATTCTCCATGCAAACTCTTCATTCTCCATTGCACCAATGTTGCGGCAAATGGAAACCTGGCAGACCAGAAAATCTGGGTCCAAGGGCCCAGAGTGAGTCTATGGGAAAGGTGGAAATGGAACCAAGGTCTCCAGACTCCCAGTGTGGTGTATTTACCATCAGGTCATGCTATGTTCCTTAAAGCAATGGTCTTCTTTATCTGACATTAAGTACAAGTGACTATCATGCGAGAGGATACAACAGCAGAACAACAAATAGTTTTAAGAAACGCTTTAAAATAAACTTGGACGTGATCTTACATCCATTGAGGCCTACAACAAAACTGCCATTAGCTTCAGTGAGAGCTGGATAGTACCCTGTGTTTGTTATTACATGTCACGCTAATGGGTGAACTTGCAAAAATTAATTGGTTAGCTAGCCATTAATTACTTTTTGTTTCTTACTGGTTACTTTATTTGAATGCGTATTTGTGGCGTGGATACATGTGGGGACTTGAATGCATGTGTGTTTTTGTCAGTGTAACGGTGGTTCTTAGGCCTTGTCTCAACACAAACATTGTATCACTTTAGTTATCCCAGCACAGTGTACGTGATATCCCTGCTGTGGATGCTGTTATGGCTTCTTGCTGTTTGAGAAAGGGAATGAACAGGCTATCAGCACTTCTATCGGTATAACTTCATCCAGACTAGGGGTTGTATTAATATTACTATTATAGTAAAAGAATCACGTCCACCCCCTCAGTTGAGGTCCCAGCCTGGGGTATTTTATCTGCAGACAGAGATTCCTCAGACCCTTAATAAACCCACATGATACCGGATAAGCAAATATAGGGAATCTTTCTACAGGAAGATGAAAGGCTGATAGTGCATCCAGAAGGATCCGTAAGTGAATTATTAACCCTAATTACTTTAGATCCAACAAACTATCCAGGCTGACTGGAAGAGCCACCAAATCAGGCAGAAGGCAGCAATACCATCACCAATGGAGAAATCTATTTAGTTTCTGCAGGTAAATAGTGCAGGTTGACCTTTTTCTACTGTTCAGTAATACCTGTTATACTTCTGTAGAGCAGGATGGGTCTAACCCCTTGAGCTATGCCTGAGGCAGAGAACCACTTGGAAGAAGCCCATGACCAGCATCCTGCGAGGTTGAGAGCTTGAATGATGGTTAGACACATAGATGAAGCAGATAAAAGTACCAAGCTTGTCTTAGCCAGGTCAGCACTATTGGGATAACTCTGGTTCTGTCCTGTGTGATATTGTTCATCACCTATAATATCAGCAGCATTGGAGGAAACATATGGACCAGTCATTTCTACTCAAGACAGAAGCAAGAAGTGGTGGCCCAAACCTTCTCTTGAGCAGAAAAGAGGACACTGCCTGTTGCTGGAGCTGGTGAAGCAATCCATCTTTGGAAGTGCTCGTTTTCACAATATTCTGGGGAGAACTTGGGTGTCTGTAGTGCTGCAAGAGGGGTCTATTGAGGACATTGGCTGAGGTGTTTTGAATACCTCACACTACTGAGATTCAGATCTGATGAGCTATGCATCAGTCCCATGGCTTCATGCCTTTAGGGCACAGAGAGGGAGATCTTCCTGCTGCTTGTTATTTTTTTAATATAGAACATGCAGGATATATTATCTATCATGACTTTGATTGATTTGCCCCTTATGGGTATGTCTACACTGCACGCTTATTTCAGAATAAGCTATTTCAAAATTTATATTTCAAAACAGCTTATTTTGAAATAGCACATCTACACAGCAAATGCCTGTCAAAATAGTACTGAGCTAGCATTTTTCCTCATCAAATGAGGGTTACAGAATTTGAAGAAAGAAGCCCAAACTAATGGGCTTGCTGCATAGATGCTCACTTTGTTATTTTGAAATAACACTGCTATGTAGATGTGCCCTAAGAGAGGCAGGAAATTAAGACAATCCCTAACAGACCTAAACTCCATGGCTACGTCTACACTGGCATGATTTTCCGAAAATGCTTTTAACGGAAAAGTTTTCCGTTAAAAGCATTTTCGTAAAAGAACGTCTAGATTGGCACGGATGCTTTTCCGCAAAAGCACTTTTTGCGGAAAAGCGTCCGTGGCCAATCTAGACGCGGTTTCTTCAAAAAAGCCCCGATGGCTATTTTCGCGATCGGGGCTTTTTTGTGGAAAACAGTACTGTGCTGTCTACACTGGCCCTTTTGTGCAAAAGTCTTTTGGAAAAAGACTTTTGCCCAAACGGGAGCAGCATAGTATTTCTGGAAAAGCACTGACGATCTTACATGAGATCGTCAGTGCTTTTCCGGAAATTCAAGCGGCCAGTGTAGACAGCTGGCAAGTTTTTCCGCAAAAGCAGATGATTTTTCAGAAAAACTTGCCTGTCTAGACACAGCCCATCAGTTTGAGGTGGAGCCTAGTTTCTTTAGTTGTCCGCCTGCCTTTAATTATGCAGGTACTGAGGGGGGCTCCACATCTCAATGGTGATGCATCTGTCGGTATAGTTATTGATTGTGCTGGGTGACAGAAAGGAATACCTGCACAGTCTGATGTTCCTCACTTTTAAAGGAGCTGTCATCTATCTGACTAAGGTGTCTCTCACTGAATAATGAATTGTTCTAAGCCACCCCTGGAATTTCCTCAATAGCCATTTGAGTTCAAATCTCCCTTGCCCTGGACTTGAGCACTAGGCAGAAACTGCTCTTCTGCGAGATGTTGGACTCCTGAAAGTAATGAACACACAGAAGCGGGAGTGCTGCTCGCACATATAGCCTTTTGGCAGGAGGAAGGCTGTTTGAAACATGGCCAGGCATGTACTACAAGGAAAAAATAAGTTTCCCCAAAGAGAAAGAAGAGTAAAACAATCCTCTCACTATGTACCTAACCAACTATAAAAACTATGGAACCACTATAGAAATATTACAGAAGCCAAGGCATGCTCAAGGCAGAGTTAGCTGAGCTCTAGCCCAGGCTGAGGTAGCTGAGAAGGAATTGATGGTGGTGCACCTGTGCACCCTGATATAGCTTTGGCATCTGGCACAAGGAGTCATAAGGCACAAGCGTGGTCTGAATAGGCACTGCTAACTGAAAATCTCTGAACCAGGGCTGGAGAAATGCATGTGCACTGGACGTTGAGCACCTCTATGGACTTGAAGAACTGGACTGAACCAAGTAATGTGGAGGGACAATACATAAATTTAGGCCCTAACCTGAGTATCTTTTGGGTGCAATTGACACAGGGATTGCAGAGCAGCTTGTTGTGGCTCCCTGATTCTTGAGCTTCATATCCCAAGCAGTCATCTGCAAGACCACAGCACTATTCCAGGTGCATGCCCTGTCCTGCGCCTGCATGCCATGTCCTGTCCACCAATCTCTGACCAGCCCCTGAAGGTTGAAGCATGTGTGTGTGGGAGGGCACAAAAACGTTTATACCAGGACTATATTAGCGGGGGGCACAATAAGGACCCTCAGCTGGGGAGATTTAGTTGCTTAGGGGCCCAGGTCTTGTTTGGTCACATTTCATATCCATTTGGCACAGATGGAAAAGTCAAACCAAGGTACTGGATATTGGGAAGACAGGCCCACACACACTCTGTGGCTGTGTCCACACTCAGGGGTTCTTTCGAAAAAAGTACCCTTTTTTCGAAAGAACTTCCCCTGCGTCCAGACTCAAGCCGCGTTCTTTCGAAATTATTTCGAAAGAACGCGGCTTTTCTTTCGACGGCGGTAAACCTCGTTTCACGAGGAAGAACGCCTTCCTCGAAAGTTCTTCTTTCGAAGGAAGGCGTTCTTCAATGTAAAGAGGCCGTCTTCGAAAGAGAGCATCCAGACTCGCTGGGTGCTCTCTTTCGAAAAAGCGGATTTTTCTTTCGAAAGATCCGCCTGCAGTCTAGACGCGATCTTTCGAAAGATGCTCTTTCGAAAGATGCTTTCGAAAGAGCATCTTTCGAAAGAAGCCTGCAGTCTAGACATAGCCTGTGATTCCAAGGCTAAACTTCCTTCACCTTCTGCATGGCCACAAATCCCTGTTTTGCGCATCTACAATTAGACACTTCGTTAATATCATTTTCCCCTCTTACTGTATATCCTCTTCACAAGATGTAGGGAGCAGAAGCTGACAGACAATTTGGATACTTTAAGGCAAGCACACAGGGAGGTGGGAAGGGTGCGAAAGCACCATGGTCTCCCAAGTAAGCATGCTCTGCTGGCCATGGGAAGGCAGGAGCAGCGTTCTGCCCGTGCTTATTTTCCCCATGCTCTGACCAGCCAGGGGAAGGCTAGGGCTGATTTCCACGCTTACGTGGAGGACCGTATAGGGTGCATTCCCACCCTTGTGGTCCACGTTTACAAAAAAAGCACCACCCTTCCCCCACAGAAATTCTTGTGTATGGGCCTGCTTTACAAAAAAAAAAAATATCAAAACAAAAGAATAACTTACATAACTTGTAAAAATCCTCTCGCTGGGTTTGATATGTCTTCGGATCTCACATTCGTTTGGCTGAATGATTGTGACCCCATCATTGGAAAAGACATAAAACATATTTCCCACACTTAGGCCTTTAAGGAAAAAAAAGAAGCAGATTTAAAAAAAAAACCACACATTTCTAGACTTTCTTCTGGAAGAACAACAAAAAGTCACTTTGCGTAAGAACTTGTAATTTGGATGCAGTTGGTACATTCACAAATTCAAACTTCATGTCAAAACGAGGACTTAAGGGTGTGAGGAAGGAGGTACAGACACATTCAAAAACACATTGCTTTGGTGGCAGCAGTAACCAAATCTTGAAGTCTTCCATGACTGTATCTGTATCAGAATTTGAATGTGTGTGACATTGTAACCTTTTCAAATCATGCCTTTCTTTCGCTTTTCATTTACATGGGAAATAACTTAACTGTTATGAGATTTAGAAGGAACTTTCAGCTAAAACACAAAACAAAATAACTCCTCAAAGCCATGCAGTTATAATTAAATTGAAATTTTGCTATTTACAAATTGTAAAGATAAATAAAAACGTTGTTTGGTTATTTCATGAAATACTTTTTAAAAAATCCACCTTGTATTTTAAAACCACCTGCATGAGTAAAAAATAGCCACCAAAACAAATACATTTTTGAAATTTTGCAAACTGTAATTCACAAATGTGGAATATATCAGCATTGCAATAGCACTCCTCTATCAAAACTGGGGCATTCCAGGAGCTTTTGCTTCTCAGTGGATTTCTGTTGTACAATTATAATTTGAACATTTCTGCTTAGCAGAAATGCTCTACAATATTGATAGTTTATTTCTTATTCAACTACATGCAAATGTAGTAAATCATATCTTATAAAATGGTGATGGGAATCTTTTCAAATATTCTACTCAGAAAGTTCCCAACATTCTTTAGATTTTTATACCACTTGCTAAATAAATTGTTCCAGACGCTTTTGTTATCTCTGATAATGTTGATAGTGTACTTATCTGCCAAACTTCCATGGCACTGGTGACAAAGAATTTTGGTTTTATTAAAATTTGCTCCATAGAAAATAAGTGATCCTGCAAACACTTAGCATCTATAAACCCTATTAGGACTACTCATGTCTAAAGTATTACTCTACATGTCTTCAGTGCTTCCAGGATTGGTGCCTAAAACATTAGCTATTTTTATAATATAAACTATATATGATTGGGGCTAACAGTTTTAGCAAATTTAGCCAATTTCATAAAATATATATCTGGCTTCCGAGTTCACCTGCATATAGAGCAAGGGTGGGGAATAATTTTGATGGGGGAGGGTCACGTCAAGATTTTGGAAAGTGGTCAAGGGCCACACTCTTCCATGATATTATTGGACGTGGTGTGGGGATCTGGAATGGAGGTTGGGTGCAGAAGGGAGCTTGGGATAAGAGTTTAGGGTGCAGGAGGGCATTTGGGGTCTGGAAGGGAGTTTGGGTGAAGGAGGCAGTTGTGACTTGAACAGGGGACTGGGGTGCAGGAGTGGTACAGGGGCTTGGGTTATAACCTAGGGCAGGGGGCTGGGGTATAGGAGGGGTGCAGGGGTTTGTGTTATGACCTAGGGCAGGGACTGGGTTGCAGGAGGGGGTGCAGGGGTTTGGGTTGTGACCTGGGGCAGGGGATTGGGGTGCAGATTCTGGGTGGGGGTATGGGTTCAAGAGGGGGGTTGGCTTATGTGGGGTGGGAGAGCAGGACTAGGGGCCATGGGTTGGAGGTAGGGTGGGGTGCCAAAGACAGGCTCTGGATGGGAGTCTTACTTGGGTGACCCCCAGCCAGCAGCCCAGCAAGTTAATCAGGCAGCCTCCCTGCCTGCTTCACCCCTGCACAGACTGCAGGGGCTATGTGCATCTCTGAATAAGAGCCTGAGGGGAAGGGAGAATGGTGCTTTGTGCGCTTCCTGTTCTTCAAACAGGGAGCTCCCATTGGCTAGAAACCGGCCAATAGGATTGTGCTGGGAGTGGGAGCAGCTCATGTAGCTTCTCCTCCCCTTCTCCCTCACAGCTGTGAAACACAAATGGCCAGCAGCCACTTTTCTGAGTGGCATGTGGGGCAGGTGGGGCAAGTAGGGAGTCTGTCTGAAGCTTCCCGCTGAATTCGTGGTCCGGATCCAGTGGCTTAGTGGGCTGCATCCGGCCCACAGGCTGTCTTTTGCCCAGGCTTGATATAGAGACACTTTAGCTTTGATATGTTTGTTGCTGCACTGAGAATCTGATGCTTTAAGATTAGCCTCTGAACCATACCACAGAAATACCCCAGTTAAGGCATCAAGCAGATACAGGAGCTGTGATCCTTAAAGGTGATGCCGCAGTAAGGGATCATGCATTCTGAGAAAAAAAACCCATAAATATTGAATTTCCTCTCAGGCCCTACCTAAGGACTAAGTAGCTTGGTAGATGCTAAAGACTAATTTTCCTGAAATACTTTACTGGGTCATTTTCCAGAAGCATTACAGACAAAGATCTACTCTGACTGCACACACATAACTCTCACTTATTTCAATGGGAACTGAGTGTATATATCAGGGACCAAAAGTTGGCCCTTTGTGCAATGAGCAAATGAATCTGCATATGTAAAATAAAAGTTTCATTTTAAAAAGTGAAAAGTCATGCAATAGATTATGGCAATTATGATAAATGCCTGTTATTATCTGCATGCACATTATTAGTATTATTTTATTTGATGATTTGGTTAAGAATATGAATGCACATTTCACCTTTCAATAGCAAAAACACTGCTTTATAATGCCTTCAGTTCTGTGCAGATTTAGAAATACTCTTCCAATTTACTTTAATTACCCATGTTTTAACATTACAGTTCTGAATCTGCTTCCGCTAAAGTCACCGTGAATTTTGTATCTAACTTCAATGGAAGCATGATCAAGCACTACTTTTAGCTTTCAGGGTTTACATGGTATTAAAATAAAATGCTCTTATGGTCAATAATTTTCAAGTCTCCTTTACATACTGAACTTACTTTCACTAACTAACCATTGGAATTCAACTGTCATATCAAAAACATGCACCACATTCCTGAGGGCTTACACACAATGAGGATATGTCTAAACAGCAGCGCTACTCCAGGGTATTGGAAGCTAGTCCACTTCTTGACAGTGTGCCCAATATTTCAAAATAGCTTTTTGAAATAATGGGTGCGCTATTCCAACGGCCCTGTAAACCTCATTCCATCAGGATTAAGGGATGTTTTGGAATAGCACTCTATTTTGAAATTTGATGCTGTGTAGACAGCACAAAATTTCAAAATCAGTCATTTCAAAATTAATTCGAAATAAGCTATGGAATTTGTGTAGTTCAAATTGCATAGCTTATTTCGAGCTATCGGTGTAGTGTAGATGCACCTTAAGGGTCCAATTGGTATGAATAGGGCAATCCATGTACAGTAATGGTTTTCTTCATTCTAAACCAAATCTACTGAATCATTTATATCCTATGGTTTCATGTTTAAATTTCTATACATTTTTATGACTGATGATTATTAGTGTGCTCTCCCTGCCCTTCCTTGGCTCAGACATAATGAAAACTATTCCAACTTTGAAAATATCATGACAATGAACTCTATATCTGAGCCACCTCATCTTACATCCACTATTTTCACTACATAATACATACACATGTACTAATCATTGCATATACTTCCAATTCTATGTGAAACTGGCCTAGCATGCTATGTGCACTCAATTCCTGGGTTTTAGTTGCGTATATTCTGTGAAAACTTGAAAACATACCCCTCTTTCAATGATCAACTGCAATTATTTAAACTTTACAGTGAAAAGCTTGCTTCACACAATACAACAGGGGTTTTCAAACTTTGGGTCATGACTTCTCAGGGGAAGCCACTAGCTGGCCATGAGATGTTTATTTACCTGCCCACTCACAGCTCCCAGTGGCTGTGGCACACTGTTCCCAGCCAATGGGAGCTGCGAGGGGGATTAAAAATAATTAGTTTAACCAGTTAACATTTTCCATGGATATTTACATCCCTATTATCACCTTAATGGACTCAACTGTATCATCCTTTGGTTAATAATGTTTAATAAAACACCAGCTTCTAATTTTAACAAGGACAATATGTAAAAATAAACAAACAAAAAGACCTCTCACTCATCCAGCCTTTTCTCTTTGCCAAGTTTTATATAAAAATGGTTCCTTTCTCTAGAATGAATTTGTAGATCAAATGTTTTACAA